AATAATAATAATATATATATATATATATATATATATATATATATGTATATATATGTGTGTGTATATATATATATATATATATATATATATTATATGTATATTTTCCGCAGCTAAAGAGTTAAGAAATTAGAATAAATAGTGCAGTTAATAAAAAGTGCAATTTGCCTGAAGGAATATAAAGAAACAAGTCTTAAGAATCCTTCTAATTCTATGGTTTTTAATTGTTGAGACGATCATATACTCCTTGCCATCTTATATTTAATATAAGCTTCGCTTCTTTTTAATAGGTGTCTCGAATTCGCGATAATGAGGGCAATATTGCATTCTTTATGAAACATAAAATGATGATATTGTAATTTGCGTATCGTTATATCAAAACGGAAAATAGAAGATTTTTATCGCTTTTCCGGAAAGTTATTTACCTATAATGACGCACAAATTTACAGAATAACGGAATGGATTTGTGTTGGGACACTATATACAACAGTAGTTAAACAATAATAAAAGGATAATGTTTTGTGCTTTATTTATAAAAACAATATATTTTTTAATTTTGATCTCAGATAAGATATCAGATTAACATGTATACATCGAAATTTATTGGTGCGTAAATAGATAAAACGAAAATTTCAGCCGTCTAATTAACACATCTAATTTTATATTATCCTTTTTGCGAGGTGATGAATAAATTTTAATAACAAAATTTCAGTATGGTCGGAATGAGTAAATATATCTTAAATTCGTTTTTACAATGTTTTATTTCTTCAAACATCTGATACAATTATATCGTTATTTTGTTTCTATTACATGTCTGATGCTTTTTTATTTCAAAATTTGTAATGTCTTGTTCTAAATTTTTTAAATAATGACTTAAATAATTGCTTTAAAGTGTATTTATATTATCATTTTGATAATAAATATTTGAACATTTGAAGATTTTGAAAAAAGTAGTTTCAAATATGAGAAGTAACCCGCGATAAAGTTGAAAGATAATAAATTGTATCAGATGTTTGTTACTAGTACTTAAAAAATAAAGTGCTGAAAATGAATTTTATATTTATTCAATCTAAAAATTTCTTTGTGTATATTGTGTGTATGTTGTGTAAAGTATATTCGTCACCTCGTAGGTCTCATCGATATAATATTCCATCCAAACAAACCGATCAGGAGCCAAGAAGTTAAGACAATATTTGCGTATAAAAATATGAATAATGCAGCATATTTAAGTCTGTTCGACTTTTAAAATCTTACATGATTTGAGTTTAGATCGGCGTGAGCTAGATCGGTTTCTATCTATAAAAAAAATTTAATTATAATTGTACGAAAGGACTTTATTTTTTAAATAATTTAATCAAAATAATAGCTAAAAAAATTATTTAAGCAGTTTATAATTACTTTGGCAGATTTAGTGCTTTAAATTTAGAATTTAAATAAATATAATATACGAGATATATGAAAGAGCCAATGTACAATGCAGATTCCGTCAAAAGATAGCAAATTTCCATTATATAGTCTACAGAAATTAATAGACGAACAAATTCCTAATTGTAATAACATGTATAAGAAGATTCCTGTTTAATTTAAAGCAAGCAGATGAGATTATTATGATTACAAATGTGGATGAGAGTAGAGAAAAGACTGGATTAAAGTATAGTTTATTGGACATCTACTATTGGTTATCCAGATAAAAAATCTATCAAAAAGAGATTTTTTTAAATGTTTTTATTACACATTTAGTAAAAAAAGCCAGTAACAAAAATTTGTTTTTTATCGCTACACTGTACTGTGTGCATTGAAACTTTCTTCTCGCTTTTCGTAAATCTCAAACATACGTATATTTATTTTTTTCAAGTATGAATGCACCATTTAACAATAAAAAACTGACATAGAACCTATTAGCAGAGTATGATGGCAGAAATTGATAACAGAAATCGAGTAGAATTGAATCTGTCTGTAACCATTCAGTTGATACATTCCATTTAAATGACAAATTGTATTTAGTTTCTAGTGCTAATCTATAAAATAATATCAACGAATTTTGCAAATAAAGTTTAATGCAAATGCAATTATCAATTTGCCATAATATTCTGTTTAAATACGTTGACAAATTGCCAATATGTTGCTTAACATTTTGCCTATTTTCAGACAATTTTAAGCATACATAATAACCTATGATATAGAATCAAAAACAAATTTCCGGTTCCGATATAATAAGATTGATCTGTAGTTGATCTAAGTTTTTATTTCTTCTAGCGAAATGCTAGACTAATCGAAGAGATGCAAAAAATTTGTAAAAGAAAAGTCGGTGCATTTGCATTTCTATTATTTATATGCCTAAACCGGATATTAGAATTTTATTCTCCATTATATTATCACGCACAATTAAAATTGTCAATCTTGAAGTCTGTGAAATTTTTATAAATTTTAATTTTCTTATTTTTATTTTTTATTTATTTAATTTATTCAATTTTGTTTATATATTGACATTTGTGCAAATATAAAGTATTTATACATTAAAATATAAATAATTTTTTTCAAATTTAATTATTTAAAAAATATGAAAATGTACTTATTTATGAGTTATCCATTTATATTTTTTATTGCAATCAATCTTGTTTTGCTGCAAAAGAAAAATAACGAAGACATTAAAAGACATCTGCGTGTGTTTGTAAACTATAGTTTTATTCCTTAAGATTCTGTTTATACATACATATATATAAGATACTAATAATTATAAGATACTAATAATTATAGAAATTGTTGAAAAATATTCAATAATGTAATAGATTTTAATTCAAATATGTAAAAGCAGTCAAATACTTTAATCATACTACAATTGTTCATGTATATCATGTACCCATCAGCAGAAATATCAAAAATATATCAATACAAGAATATCTTTAGGATATCTTTGTAATGTATTTTGAACATTTCTGTTGTAGGTATCAACATGTATTTTTTTATAAAGCCAGATATGAATAAATACCAGCTTTTACGAGTGTGTTCTTGTTTCTATTATTATTTATTCTAACTTCTGAATTTATATAAAATAGTCGATGACATCCTATACCGCACAAATTTTGCAGCTATATTGTAGCAATATTTTTCTGCAATGTTACAACATTGTAACAATGTAGCTGCAAGGTCTATGTTGTACGGGATGTTAAATGATTGGCTCGTAATTTAACAATTCAATTTCAAAAAGAAAAATTCGAATATTAATTTATATTATTATAAATATATATATAGTTTATGAAACAGATAATAAAAATAAGCTATAAAATAATTGTATATTAACATTAAACATTATGATGTTATAAATAACATTCCGTTAAAATATTGATTTTTAATATCTTATCATTATTTATTTTTTTATATACTAAATTAATTTGATTATTTTAAAACTGATCTTTCATTTATTATACGACACATTTTTTTTTAAATGTTAATTGACTAAATAATAGTAAAGTTTTTAGATTCTTGCAAATTCTTTTGTTAACACATTCAAAATTGTGTCATATGAAAATTAACCTAAAGTTCAGTCCTTATTACTATTGCTCATAGTTGTCACTAGTATCGCTGTTAGTAACTAGTTACCTTTCTATCTTCTTTCGTTATTTTCTGTTATACTCCATCTTACCACAACTACAAGGCACCTCCTCATTTCCGGATAATTCGTTGTGGAAATTGGTTGCTGTAGGTTACCACATATAATTTTTACGTAATGGTAAATCAATTTACATTTAAGTTATTTTTGTAAAAAAATATTTGCTTAAGATTTTTTTGTGTCATATAAAACGTTACATCTTTAAGAACAAATATGTGCTCAAAAAAGTCAAATATTGAAATTATATGAATAGAATGCGTAGGCTTCTCCGTAAGGAAATGTCTGACCATGCGGCGACTAATGAATCTCTCTGCAAAATAAGCATCTTGCTTTTTCGTTAGTTTGTAATCAATTATTTATATATATTACAATTCAGCTTATCCAATAAATGTTATATTTTTCTAAAAAATTTTAAGATATAATCCTAAAATATTCTATTTTGATTGTTTGATTTGAATCATATAAATCACGAATTATACAGATTTATTATGCGATGAATAGTAAATTATAATAAAAATTCGCTCACTTTGATACTAAAATGAGAAAAAAAAATGTTTACCCTGTGATGTGTTCTGAATGTAATATCGTCTATTATTCGTCATAAGTTGAAACTTGCAATTTTTCTTTTTGTTTTAATATCTGTTCTTTTCTAGGGTTTTGTCAAAGTAGTGAAAAATAAGCAATACTTCAAGCGGTATCAGGTTAAATTCAAGAGGCGTCGTGAAGGAAAGACTGATTATTATGCGCGTAAACGATTGACGATCCAGGATAAGAACAAGTACAACACACCCAAATATAGGTTGATTGTACGTTTATCAAATAAGGATATTACATGCCAGGTAAATTGAATAGTATGTTTCCATTTAATTACAATTAAACAAATTTGATTGAAAGAATAATTTTTTATAATTTTTATATAATATGTATCACATTTATGCAAGGGTAATTGTAATATTTAATAAATAACATGAATTTTTGAAGGTTGCATACTCAAGAATTGAAGGAGATAGAATTGTGTGTGCTGCCTACAGTCACGAACTTCCCAAATATGGAATTAAAGTTGGTCTTACCAACTATGCATCTGCTTACTGTACTGGTTTGCTTTTAGCTAGAAGAGTAAGTTAATTTTTTTTCTCTTTTTGAAAATATATCTGATATATAATGCTTTGCTAACATGATGACACACTCAGCTCGCTTTGATGTTTCTATGAAGAAAACACAATTGTTCCCTGATGCAACCTGATTAGCAAAAACTATCAGATATTTGTATGAAGTAATATTCACAGATCAATTATATAATTGAATATGAAATTTATTTTACATAGCTCCTTAAAAAATTGGGATTGGATACGTTGTATGAGGGTACCACAGATGTGACTGGTGATGAATATAATGTTGAGGGATTAGATGGTGGCCCAGGTGCTTTCAGATGTTACCTAGATACAGGATTAATGCGTACCACGACAGGTGCTCGAGTTTTCGGTGCCATGAAAGGTGCAGTTGATGGTGGTCTTAATATCCCTCATAGGTAATAAAATGTCAAGTATAATTATATTTTTATATTCATTTTTCATGATGCTAGTCTAATAAGAAACTTTAATAATTTTTTGTTACTAAAAAAAATAAATGGAATAAAAGATAAAGTAATATAAAATCGATCAATTGTGTAATTGTTTAATGAAATAAGAATGTGTATATGTATGACTTTATAATATGTATGTATTTAAAACTTGAAATTTGCTTTTATCTTTTTTGTTATTCAATAATTTGTACATTTCATATATGACAAAATAGTATTAAAAAAAATATATCTTATAATTCAACCATATTTCAATGATTTATGCTATTTTATTTTACAGTACTAAGAGATTCCCTGGCTATGACAGCGACTCAAAGTCATTCAATGCAGATGTGCATCGACAGCATATATTCGGCCAACACGTTGCGAACTATATGAGAACTTTGGAAGAAGAGGACGATGAAGCTTTCAAGAGGCAGTTCTCACAATATATTAAGCATGGCATCACTGCGAATGATGTAAGCAATCAATGCAATTATGAATATATTAATTTTAATATACATACGTCCAATTTAAAATTGCTATTTAGATTATTTAAATCTATGTAGCGTCGCAATTGGACAATAATAATTTTCATTGGTTATTAAATGTAAATGCTTACATTAATGCATTTATCAAAATAAACCTGTGTTACACATAGATGTCTTATCTGTATCTAGATAAGTATTGAGATATTTTAAAAAAAATGTTTCTTTTAATAGATCGAGAACATTTATAAAAAGGCTCATGAAGCTATCCGAGACAATCCAGAACATACAAAGATTACGAGGGAGAAACCACCTGTCAAGAAGAGATGGAATCGCGCGAAATTATCATTATCTGAGAGGAAAAATCGTGTTGCCCAGAAAAAAGCTTCATTCCTCAAGACCCTGGAAGAAGCTGAAGTGTAATCATTTTTTGTTTTGGCTCATTCTTACAATGTATACACAAATTTATGTGTATAAATCAATCAGGAATAAAGAAAACTCAATATTTATATGACGAGTATTGTAATTTATATATTATTTATACAATATAACATTACTTATATAATATAAATAACATATGTTTTTAATGAATTATCACCAAATTATAACTTGACTTAATTAAATTTGAATTAAGAAGAACAGAAACTAATTTTATATATCAAACTTAAATCATTCTTATGTTGTCTGATTTTGTTGTACAAATCCATCATTAAATATCAATTTACGTAAGACAACCGATTAATCTTGAATATCTTGCATTATGTTTCTGGTTAATGGCATAACTTTTACTTTTTCTTGTGCTGTTGAATGACGAATGAATTATTTTGTATTTCTAATTCATTATCTTTCATCGCGTATGTACAAAATTTAGATATCAATATACACAAGGAACGTTTTTATGTTATATATGTTATTTAAAATTCTTTGACATTAATATTTCTCTTATAATAAAATTATTCTGGTAGTTCTCAATCGATTCGTTTAATGTAAAATACGACATTTACGTATTTCGCATTGTCCGCTTCAATATAAGAAAAAACGTTCAGTATTCCATTAATATGTAATTGAATGTGGATATAAGTAACATTTATTTAGGACACCATTTGAATATCTCCGCGATTTTAACGAAAAAGTGACAATCTGCTGCGAGAACCTTGTAACCGACCTTGCGCATCATGCAAGCCATTCTGAATCTCCATCCTGGAAGGTATAGCCTTCACTTCACCGCGTGCGGCTAAGCAAGGTGATGATTTCAACAATCGTCGCGCTACTCGGTTGATATCATCCTTAGATATTTTATCTACAAACATTACGTTTTTTGTGAATATTACAAACTAAATATTATATATATTAAAAAAAATTAAATATTTATTAAAATTTTGCAACTCACCAATAGCATGCATAAAGTATTCTGGCCGTTTTCTAGAACCAGTCGCTAGAACTTGTCTACCAATGTCTTCAAATACAACAGGTCGTTGTTCCAAATTCATAAGTAACATTGACTGCAATTGCTTTTTTGCTCTCTAGACAAAAAAGTTTCCAAAATGCAATTAAATCAATTAACTTAATAAAAATAAAAACCAAATTCTTATTAGCAATGTTCTTTAGCATTTTTCAATTTTCTAACTTCTTATTCTTGTAATATTAATATGGAAATAATATACCGCTAATTCGGTATCCGAGATTCCGCTTGTCATGGTAACCATTTCATGCACAATTACTTTTACCATATCCTTTACGTGAGACGGCGTGCATGAAGCATGTATACAGAACAGACCGGTATCTGCATAAGCATGATTATATGCGGTTGCACTGTATAACCAATGGTACCTAAATATCAATTATTCGATATAGTATTTTTAGATTAAAAGCGATTTATTTCATCAGGATAGGAATGAGATAAATCTTTCTGTATTTATTCTAGATATAAATTATATAAATTATTTAAGTATTATTTAATTATTTATTCCTGAATAGCTTAATTATAAAAATATAATTATAAAAGTAGGAAAAAATCTAAAAAAATATAGGATAATTATTTTACAATGTATATTCTTCCCTAATAGAACATATAAAGACATAAAAATGTCCTACCTATTCAACACATTGGTGTACAAACGTGTGTACATGCCTTTTCCAGGACCACCAGCGCTAAAGCTGCCACCGCCTCCCATCATCATATTCAATACACACATAGCAATAAAATCTGGATCTTGATGCGAACAACCTTCTAAACCTATAACAACGTGTGATAATTCGGGCAAGCCACTAGGTCCTGCATAAATCGGCACATTGCATTCTTCCTGTTATAAAAATGTAAACAAATCCTATATTTTTTTCAATTTTATAATAAATATAAAATCATTTTAATATACTTTAATATGGATGATCGTACCAACACATATCCTCCAGTGTATTGTGCAATGGACATATCGACAGTATTTGCGTTATTTGCTAGAATAAGGTCAGGTTGTTCTTCCCAAATAGGTTTTTGATCTACAAAATATCTACAGCAAAGATAATACTGAACAAACAGATTTAAAGAATATTTGTAATATTATATCAGATTATATTAGTATTGTCCAAATAATACTAATATAAAATAATACTAATATAAAAATAATGCACTTAATTTATATTGAAAATTCTATAAATTATAAATTGTTAATCTTATAAATTATTTATAAAATTATGAATATTTATTTATAAATAATTCATTAGTGTTGTTATTTAATAAATTATTTAATGTCGTTATTTATAAAAAATTTATGGCTATTACTTAGTAATGGCATGGACCAAGTCATCATGTTCAACACCAACTCCAGCAACCACCATTCTATTTGGTGTATAATGATACTTGAGATACGTATGTAAAATTTTCCTATCAATTTTTTCAATATTCTTTTCCGGACAAATCTTGGGCAAACCTAATGTATTTTGCTTATATGCAGCCTATATCAAAATAATATATATCCATATGTACAAAATTACATTTTTTCTGTACGTTATATTTTTGATTCTGCTAAAATATATTTTTAATATATATTATGTTTTGAACTCACTGCGTGAATCATGTCCATTAATATAGGTTCTTGCTCTGGTCTAGTGTGCAGTGATTCTAGTTCAAATTGTACTGTTTGTCTAGCAATTCGTACCTAGAAGTTATTTAATCTTGAAATTCAATATTTGTTATGGTAATCTGTTACATAAATCCAATTAAATTACAAGAAACAATGATTTCTTCTGAAATGTTATATATCATATATACCTCTTCCTCTGTAATTTGAGGTCTTAAAACAATGTCACCTAGAACCTGAGTTACTATATCCAATCCACGACGGTCTGCTGATGCTGCGTAAACAAATGTGTCGCGAGATGCTTGACAGTCACAAATACCACCATGTTCTTCTAGCACCAACATTAATTTATCCTTGCTATCAAATGTATTTGTAGACTATAAAAAGTAATATAATATAGTTTTATACATAGCAAAAGAAAAATTATTAAACATATTAATTACAAGTTAATAAATATAAAAACATCTATTAATAGATTCAAAATTATTAGGTAAATTGTGTTACAAGTATTAATGATTTTCATGATTTCATTTATCATATGCCAAAATATTAATAATAATATTTAATAATATTTAATTAATATATGAAAGAATCTTACACCAAATGCTAACTTTTCAAGAAAGTGTGAGATGCCACTAGGATATGCCACTTCATATCGTGGACCCGAATCAATAAGGACTGAAAATTTAGTTAGCAATATACATACAGATCTAATGCAAATCATTTTTTCATTCATCAATATTAAAATTATTTTTGACTTACCACCTATGGTGCAAAATTGTCCAAATCTATTTTCAGATGCGACTTTCAAACCATTTGGTAAAACTGTAATTTGCGTTGTTTGATGATCTTCTTTTACAGTTGAATAAACAGCTTTTGGCAGATTTGGGATGGGTTCTGTCAATGGTGGAAAAGATGTCACAGTTTTCTTTTGATTGTCCCTCAAATCAGGAGGTATCCTTTGAGAGGAAAAATTATATTTTTGCCAAACATTGAAATATTGTGTATGCGCTGAACTGAAAAATTGAAAAAGGCAGATTTAATAAGAGAACTTTTTCATGGAATAAGCATATAAACGCATATTTCCATTTTTTTCTTTTAGGATCCGGAATAAGATTAAGATTATTCAAATTATAGCATGAATTACATCATTATCACACTTACCTTTTTTTAATCGCAACGATTAATGGCTTTTGCAATATCCTCGAGAACATCTTGCCAATTTGTACAAATTTGTAGCTTACAAATATTTAATTCTAACCAAGTCTTGCCACTTAAAAATTATAAGGACGTTCTTGAGATATATATTTATAACGCAAAGGGGCCCTGCGGGAACAAAAAGAAAACAACAAATGATTTCATATAGCAGACATACGAATGAATGTACTCGTCGAATACGTTCGGCAATAATACATCTCGTTAATATATATAATATAGATAAAATTTCAACTTTTATGAATTATTAGGTTAGATTGCGCACGCAGTTTATAAATGCGTTCCGATTTGTCCTTTTCAAGAGATCGATTGTGCATCTTAAAACGAGAAAGATTATAAAAATAAAGAAATTTACTTAAATTAGAATATCTATGACGATTGGAATGAAATTTAATCAATTAGAACAAAGTTCTAATTAAAGTTAAGATTTTCTTTTTTCTGATTGAATTCCAACATATTATCCAATCAAAATGTACGGTGACTGACCAATTAAAACAGAGAATTTTATTAATTGACCAATCAACAAATGCTTCAAAGCATTTAACCTCTATTTACATATCCATATGAAAATTTTATTCGTATTTTATTCGTACGTAACATATTATGGCATTTTCATATGAATATGTTTTAAGATAATGTAAACGAGAAAAAAGTTTTAGTAGTCTAGAGCAGCAATCAAAAACAAAGGTTCTCTTCGGTTTTAATTTCTTGCATGATTTCTTCTTGGAGAAACTTAATCTTTCTTCTTGGAGAAACTTAAAGAAAAAAAAAAGAAAAATAAACGAGATGCAAAAAGTTTAGCTAAAAAGAACAAGCCTCATCCATTTATTTTGTTTAACATTCAATGAACAACAAGGATAAGATGACACATAGAGAAGATTTAGATTGGAAATCCGAACATACCTCAACGTGTCGAGACATTTGAGAGGAGGCACTTAAGCAGCGGTATCGGGATAACTTTTGTATTTAAAATGTCGACGTGTGACGTGTAGTTTACATTGACAGGTGTGGAGAGCTCGTCGAGACGAACGAGAGAGAAATGGAATATTTCAAAAGTAGTTTAAAATCTGTCCTGGGTACCGCTCCTGCCGGTACGCAACCAACTGGTGCCGACACGGTGAGAAACGTTATTTGTTAAATCTTATATATTTTATGTGCGAAAAGTTACTCCCTTATGTTTAAATGTCATATATCGTTGCGCGATTACGTTGTCGCTCATTATCCGATAAAGTTTTCCGTCGACAAGCTAAATTGTAAATAATTTAGGATGCAACACTGTCACTTATAAGTTTACATTTTGGTACAGGTAGAAAGGTTAGTGGACAGACTACAATCCTCTACTTTGCTCGATGATAGAAGGGATGCTTGCCGTGCCCTCAAAGCGTTATCTCGCACGTATCGCGTGGAGGTAGGTGCCCAAGGAATGGATGCGCTAAGGCAGGTTCTGGAAATGGATAAAACAGATTGCGAAATAATTGGATTAGCCTTAGATACTCTCTGTAACATAACAAATCCTGAAACATTTGATGAAGAAGGTAACACTATTTTTTTTAGTTTAACAGTTGATTTTATAAATCTGTTCTTTTATTTTTTGCATTGGACTATATTAAAATTTTTTGTTTTTATTAAACTTTAAATATTTATCTATTTTATTTTAAGTACAAGTGTATGCTAGTTTAATCATAAGAAATAGACTTCTAATTACTTCACTTTATTTTAGTGGATAAACATGACCCTGGAAACAAGATAGGAGAACAGTTTACAGAAATATTTATTAAGCATCCAGATAGCATTAAATTGGTGCTGGAATTTCTTGAAGAGTTTGATTTTCGTGTCAGATGGCCAGCATTAAAACTATTAACACATCTATTAGCAAATAGATCTAAAGATATTCAAGAAATCATTTTGGTCAGTCCTATGGGTATCTCTAAATTGATGGACTTACTGAGCGATAGCAGAGAAGTTATTCGCAATGATGTATGTATATTTTGGAGCAAATGTTTTTGATATAAGGATCACCTTACTTATATGTTATTAATGTTATAAAGGTTTTATTATTGCTCATTCAATTAACAAAAGGCAATGCAAACATACAAAAAATCGTAGCATTTGAAAATGCTTTTGATCGTATATTTGATGTTATCAAACAAGAAAATAATGCAGATGGTGGTATTGTTGTGGAGGATTGTCTCTTATTGATGTTAAATCTTCTTAGGGGAAATATTAGTAATCAAAACTTTTTTAAGGAAGGTAATATTCTTATAACTAAATTTAACAATTTTTATAATTTGGCTATTTTATAACTTAACAATTTTTGTGATATATAGGCAGTTATATCCAGAAATTAATTCCAATGTTTCAAATTCCTAACGAAATGGAGGACAACAATCTTGGTGGATGGAGTCCACAGAAAGCATCAAATGTTCACTGTATGGTGCAAGTTGTACGAGCATTAGTAGCACCAAGTGCTCCTGCTCAGGTATAATGGTGATATTGATACTTAGAAATCTGTGATATTTCTTGTTACATTTAATTAATAATCAAACAATTGAATTGAAGGCAGTCGCAGCTTGTCAACAAATTATGAGAGCATGCGGTTTACTGCAAGCGTTATGCGATATATTAATGGCGAGTGGAGTACCAGCAGATGTACTAACAGAGACTATTAACACTGTAGCAGAAGTAATAAGAGGGAATGCTAGTAATCAAGAATTTTTAGCGGGTGTTATGGCGCCAAGTACACCACCAAGGTATACTTTAAAAACATATTAAACATTTATATCTTATGCAATGTATCACACAATATTATTCAAAATAAAGATGACACGAATTACATACAAGTATATCATAGGCCGGCTATCGTTGTTTTATTGATGTCCATGGTGAATGAGAAACAACCATTCGTTCTACGATGTTCAGTATTATATTGCTTCCAATGCTTCCTATATAAAAATGAAGTTGGACAGACACAATTAATTCAGACTTTATTACCTCAAGGTAATGAAGTACCGTCGTTAACTACAGGTTCGTATAAATTCTTTGTATAAAAAACATGAAAATCTCGATTCTAGATGAATGCTTCTAACTGAAATATGCGAAATAATGCAAAATTACTTCTTGTATATTTGTTAGGACAGTTGTTGTGTGGTGGACTATTCTCTATAGATTCTCTGTCAAATTGGTTCTCAGCCGTAGCATTATCTCATGCCTTGATCGAAAATATAAGCCAGAAAGAACAACTTTTAAGAGTACTTCTCGCAACCAATATCGGAAAACCACCAGTGACACTTATGCAACAGTGTGTCATGTTATTGCAGCAGGGTAATAAAACGCAATGTAAATTAGGTCTATTAATTCTACTTTGTCGATGGACCTCATATTGTCCGCTCGCGGTGAAAGCATTCCTAGCTATTGATTCTTCAGTAGCATATTTAACAGCCCTTTTATCATCGCAAGAAAATAATGATGATTTACAAGAAACTTTGCTACAGAGTATGTGCGCTTTACTTATTGGTATTTGTGTACACTTTAATGATGATAGTATACCTACTTATACTAAGGTAAATATTAGCAACATCATATCGATCTGATGTATAAAATGGTTAATATATTTTATTGTATTATTGTGCAGGAAAAAGTATGCAATTTAATAGAAAATAGAATTGGTTTGGAAAAATTTCAAGATGCAATCGGTGGTATTGCCAGACATGAGATATATTCTCGAACATTGAAACATCCACAACCTTCAGCTAAAAACCCATCAGAACTTTTATTGGATCACGAATTTTGCAGATTATTAAAAAGTTTGGAAGGTATTTATATATTTATACTTTCTCTGTATGTGTATTAAAATATTCTCAGAATATTCTCGGAATCTTTTGAGAACATTATTATAATATTCTTAGAACATTTACAGTTCTGAGAATATGAGTATGACATTCTCAGAATATTTAACATCATATTACTTAACATATTAAAATATTTAAATCTTTTATAAAATTATAAAAAATAATAATCATGATAATAAACACTTCTTTCTTATATTTTTATTGCTTTATTTTCTTATAAAACATGTTATAAACATTTATATCCTATTTGTTTAATTAACAACCTTAATCCTCTATTGTGATTAAAAAAATGGAGCTTGAGATTATTATTATTATTATTATTATTATTATTATTATTATTATTATTATATTTGAGTAGTAATGTTAGTTTTTCTTAGAGTAATGTAAGATTTTTTTCTAGGTATTATAATAAAATCAGTAATGGATGCTAATAACGAACATCAGAATAAAAATCAGTTATCTATAATAAACGTATCTGATAATACATTGATTTCACAATATAAAGATCTTATTAGAGAGCAGGATACACAACTTCAACGGCACAATCATACTATTGATATCCTTACAAAAGAAAAACAAGAATTTGAGGTATAATGGATTTGTTGCAATTAAAATATATTTAAAAATTTTAATTAAAAATTTTTTTATTATTGCAGATACAAATACAAGAACTTCAATCAACTGTTAATCATCTTCGAGATCAAAATTTAGTTCTTCGAGCTGCACAAATTAATATAGGAGATGGAAAGGAGACAGTCACTTCTAGTAATAATCTAGATTTTGGCAAAGAATTACAAAGATCTTGTGATTGCAAAATGATAATTGTAGTATTAGAAAATCATTTAGCGGAATATACAGAGAAGAATAAAGAATTGGAGTATCAGTTAAAATCAAAGACAGATGAACTTGAGAAATTGAAAAAAGATCAATTAAACAAATTGGAGTATCAATTGAAATTGAAGACAGATGAGTATGAGAAATTAAAGAAGGACCAAGAAGATCTTTTAGAACTTTTGACGGATCAAGATAATAAAATTACACTATATAAAGAAAGATTAATTGAACTAGGGGACAAGGTATGTTTTGTGAAGATATTTATATAATACAAAATGAATAAAATATTTTCTCTTTTTAGATTGAATCTGATGAAAGTTCAGGTGAATTTGATATAGATGGCAAACCAGAATCAAGTAACTAAGACTTTTTCTCTAACTATCAATGTTTTCTCAGATAAATTAATAAAATTCCACTACTAGAGAGCAACAATTTTCTTTTTTTATAAGATTTCATTTTATAGTATAAATATTGTAAACATATAAAATATAGTTGCAAGTGTATTTATATATTTGCAAATGTATAAACAAATAATGTGCACACAATTGTATAAACAGGTGTTAATCGCATTTTTTTAAAAGTCAAAATGTATAAACTTGATATTTAATAGAAAGATATTTTAAGTAAATTAAATTACATCATTCAAATTCTCTGTATTTTGTTCCTAACTATATATATATTTTTATTTCGATATTTAAGATTCATATACTCGCTGCAAATATTTATAGAAAGTTATATTCAACAGAAATAGTAATAGTTATTACGAAAAGCGACTAAATTTCATTAATTTCTAGCATTATAACTTGTAATCACAATTTTCAAACTTATAAAATAAGGGTTTGAACTTAGTACTGCCAATTACTAATCGGCCATTCTAAGCATTAAGCCATGCATCACTCTTCCAGAAATAAATTTATTATATTTATTTTAAATAATATTATTTTAACTATGAATATACAATTAATAGGACTGACAGGGATAACATATTCATAAATTCCCATTTTCAGTACAGTTTAATATACAGAGCTGTATAAATACATCTTGATGCTTCCTTAACATTTCTGTAATTCTTTTATGACTGGCTGCTGAGTGTCTATAATATCTAGCCAGTAATATCAAATAACTAGCAGGTGAGAATTTTATCCAATGCAATATCGGATAGCTTATATCGGATTTTGTCGTTGTTTCATGACTGCTTGAACGCATTTTGCCATAGTTAAGGACGCTCGTGATACTACGTCAGTCATAAAGAACTGATCTAATGTTTTATGTTTGATATCCACAGGATCTGATAAAAATGATCCTCCAGACTGTTGCTATAGTAACATAATAAATAATATATAGATATTGTTATTTTCAATTTAACATTTTTGTAGTTAAAATACAAACCTTGGCTATTTCCAAAGCTTGAGTGAAGAAATTAGCTGGTTCAACATTGCCATATCTCATCAGATGAGGTGCAACTTCTTCAAGTCTGGATCTAATTTCATTCAGATTGTCATAGGGCAATGTAACATCGATCATCTATAATAATTTAACAAAAATGTGCAAATTATATATCTTGATTAAATTATTTATGACTATACATAAAGATTTCATTATACGAACTTACTTCAGAAAGAGCACGAATAATTTTCCAATCTGGACGTGCTAAGCCAGGTGGTGTAATCGCAGCACACGTTTGTTGGGAGCGACCTTCTGTGTTGACGTAACTTGCGACTTTTTCGGTGTATGCTGCTCCAGCTAGTATAACATCTGCAATTGCTGCTCCAGCATCACCGTGACTTCCTAAAATCATAAACGACATTCAACAATTATTTAATTTAACTTCATTAAAAACGGTCTGTGATATTGGAAAATAAATAAAATATAAATATTATTAATTTTATATGTAATATATCTTGAATATTTTTATATACATACCTATGTAAATGATAAATGTGTTTGGAAAATCTTCTTTTTTAATATTTGCATCATCAGCACCCAAAAGGAATAGAACTTTCGGTTGTTGTTCCTTAATCTCTTCTACAGTCGAACCATAGCCAATATCTAAGGCGGCGACTTGAGAAGCATTTGTATGCAATATATTTAAGATCTTCCAATCCTGAGGAGCCTAAAATATAATACATATTATTAATTTCTATAAAATGAATAGAAAGTTAATAACAACTCACTTTTGAGTTATCTCCTAGAGCCTTAGCTAAACTTTGCGTTTCGTAAAGAATCTTAGCTCCGTCCTTTCGAGTTAACTGATCGGCGCCCAAAATAACAAGTGGTTTTTTAGCCTCTTTCAGAGTCGCACAGAATGGATGTGAGCCGGTCCGTAATTTCGTTATTACATCGAAAGATTCTCCTAAGTGCTATATAAAAAGAATCATATTTTGAATCATGTACTGATTATATATCGTATCGAACAGACACAAAATAGATAAAAATCGATAATACCTCGTGTTCATATGTTAAATCTACATCCGGGCCAATAAGCGCAATTGTTTGTTCACCATGTAAATAGCCCTTTCTAAGACGTGTATTTATTAGTGGCGCTTCATATCTTGGATTCGTACCAATCAATACTACAACATCCGCGTCTTCAACTGCGGCAATAGTGTTGTTTAAAAGATAACTGCTCCTGAGATCAATGCCCGAGCCATCTTTCGGGAAGCATTGTTCCGTAGCTAAACCTTCGCTGCCTAATTTGTTCACCAAATCTTTCATGGCAATAAGAGCTTCCGCATCTACTAATTTTCCAGCAATTGCAGCACATTCATCCGCTGATATATTCGTCAGAGGTTTAGCAGCTGATCAATATAAAAGATATTATTAGACAAATATTAATCCAATAATTTGTTATAAACACTAAGATAATATGATAAATCTAATATTAAAATCTATTATAATTATATGTAATAAATATTTAATTTATTCTTATTTAATTTATACCAGCAATAAGTGCGTCTTCCCAATCTACAGCTTGCAATTTTCCATTGATCTTTATCATTGGTGTAATGAGTCTTTGTCTCTTGAGTCCGTCATATGAGAATCGTGCTTTATCTGAGAGCCACTCCTCGTTCACCTCCTAAATATCATTGATTATTAATACAATTCCATAAGATCATATATTCTTTGTGCTGCAAACATATGAAAAGTACTTACCTCATTCACTCTTGGTAGTATTCTTAAGACTTCACCAGTTCTGTGTGAGATAACTATGTTACTACCAACAGCATCGTGAATGTCAATACTGTCAGTACGACGTGTTTCCCATGGACGAGCAACAAACGCATAAGGCTTACTAGTCAGTGCACCCACTGGACAGAGATCGATGATATTGCCAGACAACTCTGATAAGAACATTTTCTCGACATATGTTCCAACCTATTGTTATATAATTGTTATACAAATTTAAAATTCTTTTAATAAATAATTAAACATAAACATATGATATGAAATAATGTTTAAATATTTGAATAAATATGAATAAATTGACATTTTTACTACATACTATTAGAAAACAATTTATCTGTTCATAGGTAAAATACAATTTACAGAAACCCAATATTTTAATCTCAATTATATTTTAAGTTAAATTTATATTAAACATTAAATATTAAATGTATGTAATTAAATATTAAATGAACCTGCATATCATTGCCACGACCAGTAGTACCCAAGTCATCAATACCAGCTATCTCCGAAGCAAATCGAATGCATCTTGTACAATGAATGCAGCGCGTCATAATCGTCTTAATTAACGGCCCAATGTCCTTGTCTTCTACTGCTCTCTTTCCAGAGAAGTTAATATCGACAAACCTGCTCCTATCACTTCCAAAAGCCATGCTTTGATCTTGTAAGTCACACTCTCCACCTTGATCACAGATTGGACAATCTAATGGATGGTTAACTAAAAGAAATTCCATAACACCTTCGCGAGCTTTCCTTGTCAAGTTAGAGTTAGTTTTCACTCTCCAACCTTTCATTACTGGCATAGCGCATGCAGCAACTGGCTGTAAAATAGATTTAAAACAAAAAAAAATTTAATTGATTTATTCTAATTAATTTCACATTCTTAGTTATCCTATTGTGTTACCTTGACTTGCTTCTCTATTTCGACAAGACACATTCTGCAATTTCCAGCTATAGCAAGACGTTCATGATAGCAAAATCTTGGTATTTCAACTCCTACCTTAGCAGCAGCCTAAAAGAAAATTGTCTCTTAATAAATAATATTGTTATTATTCACTTATATTATTATATGCAGTATACACATTAGAAATATATTTATAATTATAATATTTATGTCAAAAATTTTAAATAAATTACTTATATAAAAATAATCATTTATACAAAAATTTTTCAAACATATAAATTGTACAGTTAAAAGTACTTGCTTTTTCTACATATTTACTTTTACAAATTTATAAATATATATTCTTTTTCCATCATGTGTGCTAATAAAAATAAACAGACTTCTTCTATAATACTTAATACTTCATTTTGTCCACTGTTTGTGATAGTTTCTATCTTTAGCAACTTTAACAACCAATTCACCATACGTGCATCTATATATAATTACAAAATGTAGAAATGATGATGTATTCT